AGTTCATTTAGATCAAATGTTAAAAACTTTGTCCATAAACCTCCATTAACCTATAAGAAAAGGTAGAGGTGATCATTGGGCGGGCCGGCCCGGAGCTAAAAAAATTTGCCCACTTCTCGGGCCGGAATTTTTGTGCCCAAAATGGTCAGGCCGTACAGGCATTTCAGGTCGGGCTTAAAAAAATCAACTAAGTATGCATAAAAACGCATTCCCAAACCCGCCAAAAAAAATCGGACCGGGCCCAACCTGATTTCGGGCCGAAAAATTCTGCCCAAAATCGGGCCAGGCCATACTTGATCAGGTCTAAGAAAAGGCATAGTCATGGGAAATTTTGCAACGCAGAGTACTACTCCCTACACATGAGAAAACGAAGAAATGTTTTACGTATAAACAAATGAAGATATCAAAGGTTTAAAATGCGTCTTGAAAATAGTAAAAAATCTGTTAAACTTGTGGTAGTCCGTTAAAACTGGACCAAAACACACCTACAAATTAAGGAGGCTGTTTTTAGCCTCTAATCCTCCATTGATATTACATTATTACCTTACTGGTAGTGTGAAAGGTTTATTTAGAAGTGGGGTTGTGGAATTGACCCACACTTTTAGCGGTCAATAAGAATAGTTGATCTACGTCACGTGGAGCCCACGCCGAGAGTGAGCTAATGACTTCGTTCTTCAGGTGTTGACCGTACTTCGTACGGGTAGAAACTACTCCGTATTACTAATCGTAATTTACTCAATATTAAAATTGTTAGTTTAATTATCACTTCTGACATTTTACAACATCTACTATGACATTTGTGTAAAACCGTCTAATCATAAGACTATTTTTGTGAATCACTGCAAGCATAGGATCGCATCTCAATTTATTTTCTCCCTTAGCTATAAGTGAAAATTGGGATCAAAATTAAAAGTAAACTACTCCAATTAAAGCTTATATTGTCATACAATTCTTAATTATTTTCAATTTTACCTAATAGAAACAGCCTGCCTAGTCCGAAAGCCCCAAAATAACTTCTTTTAGGTGGAAAAGCTACATTTCTTTCCAAAAGCATAGCTTTAGCTATTACAACCCTGACTTCTGTTAGTAATATACAGTTTGCCAAAGTGTAAACTTGCTCAAACTAGTCACACACACACCAAAAGAACGTGATAATGTAAAACAAAACCTACTTCAACTTGTCTAACAAGGATAGAACATCCTGCTTCTTACGCGATTACGTGAGAGCTCAAATTGGTTAAAACATGGACCATTCCCCCACAAAGACAAACCAACGGCATGTCCTATATCTTAAGAGGAGACCGAAGTTGAACCCTTTATGCCATCACGATATATGCAAGGGTTTACCGTGTATTTATCCTAGACTAGACTCTTTAAGAAAATTCAATCTCCAAACTACGTGATAAACCTGGTTGTACCTTGCAAGGAAGATTTCTTGTAACACCCGAAATTAATTACCCCAAGTTACCGTAAAACCTATGATCTAGTGCCTGTCAAACACACACACAAATCCTATGGTTATTATGTTGTTTCTTTTCTTTTTGATGGGTATATTGGAGCATAGTTATACACCTCTCATTCCCTTCTTTAGCTGAGGGCATCAATGCAAAATTACGAATGAAGTGATAGAAAATCGCATGTTTTTTTTTTTTTTTTTTTTTTTTTTTTTTTTTTTTTTTTATGGACAGTGAAACTTAAGCATGCAAAAGTAACTTAGTTTATAAATAACCGATTTAATCAATAAAAACTTTATAATAATACAAATTTATGGACTAATATTTTTAGAATTATTACATCACACTCTGTTCGTTTAGTGGTATAGATTGTTTGTTTTCCTATATTTAGCTTCTTATTAAACACGTAATTATTAATCATTAAGTATACATCCTACGTTTAACACTTTACATATCCATGACCCATTTTGCTGACTTGCTCCCTATGTTTAATGACTGACCAAAGTGAATTTTGTTTTTATTGGAATGGAAATAAATGAACAAAGTTAGTCTTGCATATTAAGCTTATCCTTGAATTGTTCTTAGGCTCTTAGCAACTAACTATTGTAAACATTATAATTTTGGAACCTTGACTCCAAATTATATTGTGCAATAAGGTGTATTGTGTGTAAGTGCACCATTCTGATCTTGCCGTCGGATTCTAAATGAGGAATGGTTTCATGTACCATTTTTTTTTTTTGGTGTGAGGGTAGGGGTATTTAAACATATGAGCGATATGACCTATCACTCTATGTCTCTATCGTACATAGCCTTTCAGTCTCAATCGCACATTGTAATGGTGCATGGTATAACAATGGACCTGATTGTACACCATAAACGCTACGAGTGCATGACAGCTAGTGCAACAGCGGCATATTTGGATGTTACCTTCGATTCGGCTTACATCAAAGCTTTTGTTAACCAAGTACTGTATGAGGTTTATGTTTAATGAAAGGGAACCTTTATAATTTTTCTTATTATATGCATTTACTCGTATAATTAATAACATGTGAAGTCAATGCCTTTTTTTTTTTCCTTATCCTATTGGCCTACTGGAATTTCGAATCTATTTTATTACATGTTGGCCTACCAGGATATTAAAATTTTGGGTGTGACTTGTGAGAGAGAATATAATCCTATTGTTTGATTTTATGTTTATTTTAATTCCTTATTTTTAGTTAATTAGAATTTAACATAAGAAATACTCCATATTATATTATTCAAATGTGGTATAATGACGTGCATAATTGGATTAATTAAGATACGAGCTCTTGGGTATTATTTTTGATGTGGATGGCTTTTGTTGAAATTCTTTGATTCTCTCTATTATATTAAAACTACTCCCTTCGTATACAATTATATTAGTAAAAACCTCGTGACCAAAAGAATCGCGAAATACGAGAATGAGATTAACCATGACTATAGAATTTATAAAGCATGGATGTTTTCATTTCATCTTATACCCGTAATCCAAATTGAGGATCATTCGATTTGGCATTGAAAGCTAACTTCTTCACTTTGCGATTTTCAACCGATTGATGGTCACATGGTATGATTATCTTTATAGAATAAGTAGTTCATTAGGTAGTATGCTGGATTCGATGAATAAAATAAAGTTTCGAGGGAGATTTTTAGCCCATGCTTATGAATTATTTGGCCTTTAATGTAAATGCATGTTCAACACATGTGAAGGAATTGAATTTAAAGTTAGATGCCTTAGCCAAAGCTAGTGTTTACCCTACTTAAGGAAATGCCCAAAAGTTCTAAGGAACTCATTTTGATTTTGGAGATCAACAAAATAGTTCAATTTCGTATTTTATTGGTGGCACACTAGCACATTAAATGAGTTTTGAAGTAATTTTTTAAAGGAAAGTATTATATTTCGTACTTCATACTCCGTAGTATTTTAAAAGACTGTTAGTGACGTGGTACATAACAGTTTTTGTATCCTAGACGTTTGTAGTAATACATTCTTTTGGTGATATTTTAAAAGATTATTTGATTAATTTTCCAACACTCTTTAGATACGGGATTGAGTTTTCTCTTACGAGTATTTTTGTTTTTCTTCAATTTGTGATCACAATTATGAGTTATTATATTGTAAATTGGTGCTTGGTAGGAATAGGTTCAAGGGAAGATCATAAGTTCATAACCATGCAAGAATCCAATTTAGATGATGTAGGAGGTTGCATGCATTCATGTATTACAGTAGGAGGATTCAAATGCATTAGTTCAATTTTTGTGTGCCATTTATTATGATATGTCTTAGACTCTTAGGACAAAGTTTGCTTGTTGAAGTCAGGGAAACTTGGCATATGCTCCTTTATTGAAATCTTCGTGCATATGTGCAGATGTGCTTACTCGTTTACGCGTCTGTGATGTAAATTTGGGGCAATAGTTAGGGAACAAGTTCAGCGCAATCCCCTTTGGGTGTTCGAGCCAAGTTAATAAGATACTACCCCCGTTTATTAAAAATTGTCCTATTTTCAGTCACTACATTAATTGTATTAAGTGAGTAGATAGATATGTTGTTTAGTGTGTGGGGTAATAGGTAAATTAGAGAGTAAACGGTGGGACTATGCTAACTAAAAATGAAATAGGAGGAATATTTTGTGGTAGACTCAAAAAGGAAAATGGAACAATCGTTATAAAATGGAGGGAGTAGATTAGTACGTAGAACTCGGTCTTTATTCGTTAACTTCTCTTGTTGTCTAACAGCTAATTTATTTTAGTTAATTTCTAGTCTTGGTTTAGTTAAGTTTGGTTGGATTTTAAAAAGTCACACGAAAGAGAATATTGTTATTGAGTACTGTAGTAAGTTAGTACGAGACAATCATCGGTCTATTATGGAAGACAAGAGATTTAATTATGAATTTATGATGGTAGTATAAATGGATAGGATATAGAGGGTGCATCGTGCATGGTCACTTTTTGGAATTGCTCATTATTTTTGTATTGAATTTCTTACCTACCCAAAACGCAGGAGTAGAGTAAACAGCAGCCATTTTTCACTCGTTCACTAAACTCTACACTTTTTCTCAATTTTGGCTCAGGTTAAATCAGTTCGAGTCATATTTGGATGATGAGTTATACGTAAATAAGAAGTGCAAAATTCTTTAGATGAATGACTATTTCGTTCTCTTTTCTCAAGTGAGTGAATCTTTCACAGAAAGTCCAACTTTGATATTGAACGAAACTTAAAACAATTTTCATAAATTAGAATTTCTTAAGATTTGTTAAATCCTAAAGAGTTTAACTTATGGTGTGCAACAATTGACCACAACCACTAAACTAAACTAAACTAATTTTGAGAATTAAACAGAATTATAGTTTTCCTAATTATGTACACAATGCTAGATAAAATTTGTCATTGGATTGACCAAGAATAGAAAATTTAAATAAAATAATTGGTTAAATACAGGAAAATCAGGAATATATTTTTCTGATAGAATTGACAAGTCTACCAATGACCAATGTTACTTAGAAGCAAAACCAACAAGTAAAGACGATGTCCATCAAAATTGTGCGGCGGTCCCCTTCTTGTTCATCTTTTTACAAGTAGAAATTTGGAATTAGTCAAGCTGCTTTCTTTTTGCCGGGATACTTAGCTTTAATAATTTCATCTTTTTAAAAAAATCATCTTTTTTTTTTTCACTTTATTGTATTTCTCTCTTCTCCTGTTCTGCAACTTTCATCTTCATATAGTTCTGATTCTCCATTGTCACTATTTCATTTTTCTGTTCTTTCTTCTTACCCACCAAAAATTACAAAATTGTTTAAATTTTTTTAAAAAGTCCTTTTTCTTGTTCTTCTGCTTTGTAAATTATTCATTTGGAGGTGTCTTGGGAGAATTTCTAAATTGTTGTATGATGCAGTAGGATTTTTAGTTTATATTTATTTATTTAATTTAATTTTTTTTAATTTTTTTTTATAGTTTTTTTGGGGTTTAATGAAGTGTAATCTTTGTCCTGGGTGCTAATTGGACAATCAAGGGTAAACAGTGAAGGTTTGATAAGGGAAGAATATAAAAACCCAACAATTTTCTGGGTTGCTCTCTACTATTGGTCTTCTGGTACTCCCTATTTTCATTTTTCTTTGAAATTATTAGTATAATTATTTTGGAATAAGATTATTTTGAAATCATTATTATAATATGTCAACCAAATTTGTTTAGTGGATTCTTGACTGCTTGTACTACGTATATTGCTTGCTTTATTCCTTGCTATATATTTTTTTTTTTTATAGAAGGTAAAGTAGTTCAATGTTAAATTGTCACTTTTAATGTATATTTATTGTATACTTCATGTCTCCTCAAAGAAAAAGAAGCAAAAAAAAAAAATCAATTTCATTGCCTCCTCTTTATTTTATACACAATTATCAGTCTAGTTCGCCGCTGCCTTGCCTGTTTAGATCTTTACTTGGTTGACATTTTGGTACTTGAGGATTGAAATTATGGGTTCATAGGTTGATCAGTCTTGGTTTGGATAGGAAGGTATTATTTAGGAATTTAGGAATTAGGATGATTGAAGTTGGCAATGAGCTTTTCCGGCACAAAGTTGGCCTGGCCTAACCTTACAATGGCATGTCCGGGCCACATGTCGTGCTTGGGTTAAGATTTTCAAAATTTAGCAGGCAATCAGGCATGATCTAGCAGCCTAGCACTAGTCTTAAGGATGATGATGCTTTGGCATTGCAAGTGTACAACGTAGGATATGAACATATGATAATGAGTTGTTTCTAGCTTGGGAGCAATAGCAAAGAATTTCATAGCTGCTTGAATGTCCATCTAGCTCTCTAGTCCGAATTATGATTCAGGCTCATCACTCATGTCTAATTGTCTAGCGTAGGCCTAGTAAGAGCTGGAACAAATTTTATTGATGGATTGGATAATGGGTTGCATCCATTGGTTTCCTTGTATGGTTGGTCTATCTGTTTCAACAAATCCCAGGAAACTTCTGGAGTTCTTGTTATGGTCAAACATGTTATTTATACCTCGTTAGTCTTGATCTCTAAAACATAAACGTTGCTACATGCCGAGTTCATCCCTCCTTGTGTGTTTTTACTTTATGTGAATGACTGATTTTGCATCAAATCCTATCTTTTTCCTGAATGCTCAAATAGACAAATGCAGTTTCACTAGTTTGGTGTTGAAAAATAAAAACTAAACAAATTTCAGAATTTGGTCTTAACAAAATTAGCCACCCTAATTTCTATTTTTGATCCAGGACATTAATCTTTCAGATGGGGTCTGATGTCTCTGAAGTGCAGGAAACAACAACGCAGACTCTTTCTATTAAGGTAATTAGTATGCAGTTCTTGTTTTGTTACATCTTCAGTTGTTACGCTTCTTGATTATGTTGAGTATAAGGTAATTAGTATGCAGTTCTTGTTTCATTTCATCTTCAGTTGTAACGCTTCTTGATTATGTTGAGTATATTTTCTCTATTAACAGAAACTCAGACTAACGTGATTGTGTTACATACTTTTAGTTGTCAATGTGATCGGAATTTGTTAAACTAGTATCTTTTTCCATTGAGGTCAATTAAAATATATAATTGGAAAACAGAATTTCGATGGTGAATGAAAAGGTTCTGCTAAGAAGATCATCTATGGAAATGGATAAATAGTTGTCTCCCTCCTCAAACAGTCTTAACTTTTTGAATCATAACAGTCTTCTTTATTGCATATGCAGGTGCATATATCCATGTGTACACAACTCCTGGGACTTGTTGAAATTATTGATAGTATAATTTCAGTTATCGAAGCAGCTCAACCTAGGTGCTCCCTAGGATTACAGGCACTTTCCCATTTACGCATTGCAATTGAGAAAGCCAGGGAACTTGTTCAGAACTGCCGCATGTCTAGTAAGCTGTACCTGGTATGTAAAACCAATACAACAAAAATACCTCCAATAGATTCTCAAGCATGTAGTTCAGTGGATTAACCTGGATTTTATGAAATTTATAATTGCAATTCCATATTTCCTGTGAGTTTGAATATGGGATTTCCCAGTTTGAATAGGCATGAAGAAGTTTGTCCTTGGCTCTTTCTTTAATAATATATAGCGGAATGAGAAAAATTTAGCAATTATATCAACATTAAGGCGTTCTATTTTGTACTTCAGGCAATGACAGGGGAAACAGTAAAAGCAAGATTTGAGAAAGCAAAAAATCGTATGGAGCAAAATTTGAGCCAACTTCAAAATATGGTTCCTGTGGCTTTGAAACAGGAGGTCTGTCATACTTTATTTGCTTCTTCAGCTCATGCATGTTTCTTTCTTCATCTTTATATTTTTCCCAAATATCACTTTATGCTGCTGTGAAACCCACTCCTTCCATGGTCAATCAGAAAGGACATCTAACAACCTCGCAAAAAAAAAAAAAAAAAAAAAAAAAAACCTTTCAACCTCTCAAAAAAAAAAAAACTCAGCCCTCCCAAACTCTTGTTCTGTGGTGCTAAACTGCTAATTCATGCTTAAATACTCCGTATTATTTTCCTGGGATAAAATCGATTAAGTAGCTATATTTGTGTTTGGCAGATTTCTTACATACTTGTTGGTCTAAGAGGTATAAAATTCTCCTTGGACTCATGTGAAGAATTGGCTGGCAAAGCGTTACGAGCGATACTGCAGCAAGATCCATCTGTAAATTCAGTTGGAAATTCGGAGATAGAGTTGCTTCAGCTCGCAGCTTCAATGCTTCATCTAACGACACAAAAAGACCTCAAGGTAGAAAGAAGACGCTTAAAGAATCTCCTTAATGACGTGAAAGAAGAAGGGTCACAAAAATGGAAGACTCTGAAATACCTTCTTTATCTCCTGAACAAGTATGAAAAACCTATAGTGGAAGGGCAAACAAGAAGCTTCTCAACTCAGCATGATTTAGCTTACATCTCTGTGAAGTCTGATAGTGAATCTATAACAACCCAGTCTCCTGATCTTCATTCCCGTGCAGATCATTTCAACTCTCTTCGCAGGCCTGACCCACCTGAGGGATTTATATGTCCCTTATCCTTAAGGTTGATGTATGACCCTGTTATTATTTCTTCTGGACAAACTTATGAAAGGGCATGCATACAAAAATGGTTTGATGAGGGTCATGATACCTGTCCAAAAACAGGGATGAAGCTATCTAATCTGTCCATTACACCCAATACTACCATGAGGAAGTTTATCTTAAAGTGGTCTATGGAATATGGCAGTGAATTTCCTGACCCAAGTATAATCGCATCAGAATATGGCTCCCTTGAGACTTCTTCAAATTCCATCCGTAGCACTGCAAGTTCTATGAAAGATATATATCTTCAAATAGATATGAGCAACTTATCCCTTGGATCTCTTGATAGCAGTTACAGTAGTATGTCACATGCTAAGCTTGAGCACAGTTTTGGTTCTATTAAGAAGTCGATTGATGTTGAATTTCAAAAATTTGAATTCTACTCTAGCATTAATGACATTAGAAAACGGTTCTTATCTAATGTCAGGGAACTTCCTTGGGAATCACAGTGTACAGCTATTCAAGATGTTAATACTTATTTGATTGACTATAATCCTTCTTGTGCTTTTGTCTCTTCCGAGAATTTTCTGGATCCATTGGTTTTGTTCTTGGAAGATGCTCTTGTCAAGTGTGATAATGAAGCTCAAAAGGCTGGAATTAAAGTGCTTTCAACATATCTCCAAGCGAAGAGGTGATTTTCCTCATATTGATCTAAACGTGTATACTCCATTTTCTTCAAGATTTTATCTAGCAAGATCATGCTTCTTCACTTGCATGATAATATTAACTTCCATTGACTTATTGCAGGAAGGAACCCGCACTTTTAAATGAGGATGTATATCGTCTCTTGGTTTCTTTCCTTGCAACTGAAGCTGCTGCTGAAACACTTGCCATAATGGAATTATTATCTACTGAGGTTGATTTTTTCAGATTTGCAGCATCAGGTGCTCTGACTTCAATTCTCAAAATGCTTGATAGCCACAAAAAAGATCTTCAAGAATCAGCCCTTAAACTACTGTATAATCTTTCATCGAGAATTGATAGTTCATCGTGCAACTTAGCTTCAGATTGGATACCTATATTGGTTCCTTTCTTGGAAGATAGCTCAGTTGCTGGAACTTGTTTAGGCATTTTGGAGAAGTTGTGTCTGTTTGAAGAGACTAGGATTTCTATTGCTGAGACCCAAGGCTGCATTGCATCTATCATTAAGGTACTTGAGGATTGCAGCTACAAGGACCAAGAGCATGCAGTCCGTATTCTTCTTGATTTATGTTCTCAACACGAATATTTTTGTCAAAAGGTCATATGTGCGGGATGTATACCTGCTGTCCATCATGTATCAGTCAAAGGAAGCGACAAAGGAAAGGCAATCGCATCAGAATTGCTCCGGCAGCTGAATGAGACTAGATATGAAGAAGAAAAGCAAGAGTGCCCTAGATCTATAGGTGATGTACCTGTGGCTCGTCATGTGGGAAATTATGCTCAAAAGTCGTGTAAATCACCTGGTTTTATCAGGAGGCTCTTCAGAAAGAAGTGATGCTCTTTTCAAATGGTATGAAGGGTAGCAACTTTGCTGTTTCCTGAACCAAAATTTTGAGGTATACTAATGATGTAGATTAAGAGTGTCAAATTGGTTAATTTGCTACTTGCTAACTTACTACTAGTTGCTAACTGATCCATTACTGATGTAGCTTTTGTATGTACTGATGTGATTATTTTTTATTTTTTTTTACCTGTTTGGTATGAGGTGATAATTGGAGGTAAAACATTCAGACTTTGCCACTGAATTAAGAAAAATACTCATTTCAGTTACCTCCATTCATCATCTTGTATGCTGTATCAATCGGACCGTTAGGGTAACCTGTAGTTTCTTTGTTTTGATTAGTGTATAGTTTCTCTTTGATTTGCATGGAATGGAATTTCAAATAGGATTAGAAACTTGTACAGAGCCTCTATAAATGGAGGAAATACTACTATTTTTCTTTTTCTATATGGTAAAAGTTAGTTTGTAATGTTGAACTATGTAATGTCACTTTCCTAGTTTCCTCGCAGAATATAAATGAAATTTCTTTGTTTGTGCTATACATCTGAATGAACAGCATCAATTGTATGTCCCTTTAGGAAAGTAAAGAATAGAAATGATCAGCTGATGTACGAACAGCAGTAAACATGAAGTAAAATATCCTGAAGAAATACTAATCCTCTTAAAAATATGAAATCATAATATTGGAAAGTTCTTATAAGAAAATCGGGAAAATAACAAAGTAAAATTGTTTGACTTGGCCTTACAAAGTTAAAATTCACAGAGTATCAAATTGGGCTTTCTGACATGCATTAGGTGCTTGCCATGTTTTCCTTGTAAAAAAGTCTCAATATTTTCTATTTTTACCTTTATCATATATGCTTGACATCCTAAATTGTAATCCGTAATACTTTCTTTGTTCCCCTAACATTACAGCATAGGAGGAAGACACGGAATTTAAGATGAGTAGAGCGATAGAGAGAAAGAAATAGCTACCCATGTGATGAGGAGATTGATAGAGAGAAAGCATGTACATATATGATAATGTTGCAATATTTGTGAAACTTTCTTAAATGGTAATTGTTGCAATATTAAGAGAATGGAGAAACTAATAAATTAAGTCATATATGCCATGTCTTAGGGTGAGAAGCTTGAGCTCCGAAGCCACACATGTGCGGGCCGCGTTGTCTGGTCCAAGTAGAGCATGTTGCATGTGTGAGTGTGCGTGCGGGTGCAGGTGCAGGTGCATGCTCTCTCCTCTTCACAAAAAAACTCTCCAACTAATATAATATGAATGTTACAAACTCCTGGCCTAAACAAGTGCACATATCTAGCTGGCTGACTGGCTGTATCAGGCTATCAGCACTGGAGACATCAATTACGGTTGCAGCACCGTTCTGTTTTCAAGGTAACCACATACAATTTGAAAACAAGATATGGCTGTTGGTATCCATATTAATACGATATACGAAGTAAGAAGATAGACGTGATCTCAAACTATGTCAATATCAACATTAACGGGGATCGAGCTCTCCCATCTTCTAAGAGGCACCTGTTGGGGGGGGGGGGGTTTGTCTGTGCCCTTCTGGTTAGGGCATTATCCTGTTTGGGGTTTTACTTCAAGAAAGGTCTGTTAACAGTCTCCACATCCTACCTACTTACAAACAAAATTCAATATCATCATTGCCAACTATGCTTTGGTATATACCTTATCTCAATTCAATATCAGGATTAACCCATTCTCAGTGCAAAACTGATAAGCAGATCAAACTAACCAAAAGGGGTTGCATGAACCATCGGTATCTCTTGAGGAGAGTACATGTAAATAATACCGAGTTGAAGGAAAATGAAATTACAACATAACCTACTTCCCCTGGCACCATAAATATACATCCATTGATGTTTTGCAATAAAAATTTCCATGATTACACAGTTAAGAGCACTCGCCACAATCTGCAGGGTGGCACTCATGGCCATCGATGCAGATGCCTGGTGAACTTTCACAGGGAAAGCCTTACAAGGGATGAGAAACTCATGAAAACCAACCCTAGAAGTCATTCGCATGCTGGCTTTGTGTCAAAGCTGCTAAGGCAGATCGCAAAGGCTTGAAAAGCAGAGAGTGGATAGTGATAATCCATGGTGAATATATCTTTTCCAATCTTTCCAAATTGTAGTATTACCTTTTCTTGCTCAGCAACAGGGATGTTGTGGTGTGGCTCAACAGCTGCCACAAGCTGAAAATTCTTGACAGAGGCAACTGTTACCCGGCCTCTGAAGTTCAAGCACCAACACTGCAGCTGCTCATGCCATCTAGGAGCTTTGTTTTTAAGTATGAGTCGGTCATCTGAGACGGTAGGTGGTGGCTCTGATAGACTGGTGGAGCTAAAACTGATAGGTTGTTCCTTCCCTTGCAAGCCTGGTGAGGGTGGACATTGCTCATGAATTGATCGAGGAAAAGATTGAGGAGTTGGGGCAGATCCTCCCTCTTGAATGGAAGCTAGAGGAATGGAGTGAATGACACAATGTAATCTCCTAGGCCCTCGGGTGCGGAGAACACTAAGCTCATAAGAGATGGTTGCTATGCTATAATTGTAAGCAGGCACTCTAGGAGAGACCTGCTTAGAATGAAACCTCCGGCTGGACCGACTGTTAGTTTTAACTGCTGCATCTTGTGGGGGTTGGCTGTCATACACGGTGAATTTGGTGCCCAAAAAATTTGACCTGAAACAATAATAATAATTTGTCAGATGTTTTTCATTGAACCATTTGGACAGCAATTGACATCTGATGTGATAATGTAAGCTTGCCTGAGCTTTCCAACATATGCATTACTAGCTCTTGAGAAGTCGTCTGCAACTAAAGATATTACAAAATCTGTGCTTGTTGCTCTTCTGATCTTCCTAGCAGCCAATAATAATTTATCGTTTTCTTCTTCAGCTGCAAAAGTGAACTATTAATATAGATATATACATAGTTATGTACTAAAACACCACTTAAGCTAAGCTTGTTCAGCAGATGTCCTACAAATATCACACTAATCTCCAAGCAAAATGCTCCTAGAAACATATTCAGAAACTGACATTTGCATCTGAATAGTACGTTTTGTGCAAGATCCAATATCTACCATTAAGAAATTCCATGGCCTCTAGATTTACACACAATAATAAAAAGAAACTGACTTACATGGCGTCAATCCATAGTAAAGGCGGAAAGTAGAAGTTGCTCTATCCCTTTTGATAAAACATTGTATAGGCTGATCACGCGATCCAGGCTACAATAAATTCACATACAACGGAAATTAGATGTCAAGGAGAGTATAATAAATCTACACTCTATATACAAGTATAAGAATGTTCTAACTTCCAAGCAGTGAACCACACTAAAATTCCAGTTATACCTGCTTTAAAGAGATCGGAAAAGTGATCCTTCCACACTGTTCTGGAGTCTGAACTATTTCTTTGGTAACATCTCTCCACGATCTACAAACGGCAGCACAAAATACTACAACACTTCTAGCAGGCCATGATGTCTCAGTATCTTCAACCCTCCTAATGATATCCAAAAGCAATTCGGATGGCAAATTCGCCCACCGACCTTGCTCAACTTCTTCAATATTAGGTGATGCCTGGTCAGGTGCAATATGTGATCTTGTTCTCCCACGCCACTGCCTCCCTCCTTCTCCCCGTCTAGACCGGTTTCCTATCCCCTCTCTCATTTCTTTCAGCTCCCTAACGATGCCCTTGAAGGACATCTTATTTTGGACTAGTCTGGTCTTTTAATACATGCACCTAATGAGCTTGATGACACCTGAAACCAAACTAATGTTATCATGATTTAGACAAAGTAAGGTCGGTCTTTCAAGGCATCCAACTATTATGTTTATTAAACATAAAAACAATCTGTTATTATCTTGATTTAGATACGCTATGATCTTTCAACACTTCCTACCTAATCAAATTAAGATACCTCAAAATAAGCAGTTGTCAATTTGTCAAATTACAATAGTGCTTTGTAGTTTGATACTTTGATGATGACATTGAACCAAATTATTATATGTATTAATTATCAAAATATAAACAATAAAACAAATTTCAACTAAACCCTCAAACACAACTAAAGAACAAACAAAATATACCATTTTTATTATCATTATTCAATGCTCTAAATAAGAACAACTTAATTCCAGCCAAAATACATCATCTTACACCTAAAAAAGTTGGGATTTTTAACAATACTTTCTTTTTTGTTAGCCCAATTAAAAAATGAAGGCTTTAATTTTTTTTTTTTTTTTTATTTTTTATTTATTTATATGCATCTGTATAAGCAGATCTACAACAACCTTTAAGTCGACATAAAAATCCAAACCCTAAAAACTAAGATAAAATTAAATAAATAGGCAGTTGTAATTTTATGATTTTTTTTTTATAACAATTCAAAAATATACTCCAAAAACTAAGCCAAAACCCTTTTCGTCTCTAAAAGTTCTTCTTATTTGGAAGATGATTATAACACTAATTACAAAAAACTCAAAAAGAGAACTTTTGATGTGGAGAGTAGCAAGAAATGATCTGATTAATAACCAATTTTTCATATAATTTGGTGAACATTAAATTAGCATTAACTAATTTGAACATTTCTAGATGATTAAATTAAAAAACCATCACATTTTCACAAAAAATTGTAACATATGTCAATAGATGTCGAGCTTATCAACTTTAACCCCAAAAATAGCAATTTTTTCAAATCCCAACAATAACCCAAAAAAATTAATTAAATCAACCAAACAAAAAAAAAAAAAAACCAACCTGGGTAAGAAAAGCTGGGATTAGATACAAGAGGAGAGAGAAAGAGTGGGTATAAATTCAAAGCCCAGAAAAAAGTGAGCAGCAATCAGATCAAAGAGAGAGAGATTGAAAGAAATATTTGAAATCAATCAAAAATGAATCAAATCAGAATAATTTTTCAGATGAACGGTTGGATCTGATCAACATTTTTGAAATAAGCTAATTCTTTCTATCTCCGCCGTTAGATCACCGCCGGTAACGGTCTGAAGTTCCGGTGGTGCCCGAGAACTGCCCGCTGCCCCGCACCTTCTGCCCGTAAATTTAAGAGTTTTTTAGATCCCCATTTTACTCTTCTACCTTTCTTTTCTCTCTCTACTTTTTTGGTTTTTCTAATGTTTTTAGTATTGAGGGTCTCTTCTCATTTTCGTTTCTCTCTTCTCGATTTTTGCGCCGCTTCCCCAAAACAAAAAAAGATATTTACTTTGTGAAAGTAAAGAAAAAAGATTTCTGGGCTATTTTTGTTTATTTTTTTTCCTATAAAAGAATAGGTTTCTGATGTATTGAGTTTTCTGTAAAAAAAAATGGATTGAAAAAGGCTTATCCGTTTTATATATGTATGTGTGAGTGTGTGACATACAGTCATCAAGTCATGCTAGATAACTAGAGTAGAGTACTAGACTAGTTTATGCGTTGGCTTATTGAGCGCCTTATAGAATATACAACGGTTTTAATTTTTTTAACGGAGTATAGATAAATGCATCACATTGATGTTTTCACTATTACATACAAGTACTTCATACTACGAGGTACCTAGGTACGAAGTATCTTAACTTGATTTTTTTGTTCTAGTATGCATGAGATATATTTTTATGTACGTTGATACTTGGTTGTTAAAATAATGTACATTTCCATGAATTATTGGATTTTTGATAAATTTTATTGTCCAAAGAAGTCATAAGAACAATACAAATACTAAGTAAGAAGGAAAAGATTTGAACTACTTCGTAGTAATCTATTACTCCCCTCGCCCACGATTATCTGAACCAAACATCCTTTTTGCAGACTCCTAGGCAAAACTTTTAGTGGAGTTTAATTAAGTTTGGGTGGGTTTAATTAAGTGGGAAAAAGGAGGGAAAGAAGTGTTCTCTTTTTTTTTTTTTTTTTTTTTTTTTGGGGTGGGCTAAAGTGAGTGGGAAAAAGATGGAAAATTTAGGGTCCCCTTTTATGAGTGGGAAAAATGTGAAAAAGTGAGTATAATTAAAAGATTTTAAACAAAGTTAAAAAATAAAAGTAAAGGTAAGGTGGTCTCTTTACTCTTTAAAATTTACTAAAAGAGGAAAGAAAAAAAAAATCACATAATAAAGAGCACCCATTTTTGACAAATGTTGCAGATAATTGTGGACGGAGAGAGTATATAGATATACGTCATTAATCATAAATTCATAGTCAATAAACCAAGACCTCATTAGAAAACGGTGGCTTAAAAATATTGGTGTTATTCATATGATTACAAATCATGACAAAAAGTAACGGTCAGATTTGCTTTTAAGACATTGAGTTGTTCATTGACTACAGTATTAGCATGGGTGTGAATGCATTCAATCCAACCCCGTTTTTCATTTACTTAATTAAATTGGTTGATTACAAATCATGACAAAAAGTAACGGTCAGATTTGCTTTTAAGACATTGAGTTGTTCATTGACTACAGTATTAGCATGGGTGTGAATGCATTCAATCCAACCCCGTTTTTCATTTACTTAATTAAATTGGTTGATTATTTATAACCTCTTTTTATTTTGACAATTATAAAATGTTTTTTTTTTTTTTTCCTGCAATAAAATATTTAAAAATTTTATTTGACTTTCTTTTAATACGTAAGTACTGAGTTGACTTAAAAAAAAAATGTGACTTTTCTTATAAGAATGAATCATATATTCATAATCCAATAAAAAAAAGCAATTATATATGGTATACAAGTAATTGTCAATAGATGCATTGGATTGAGGTAATTTTTCCAATTTGTTAGGATAATAAAGTGTTTGGTTTAAATTTTGATATAAGAGAAATTAACTCTTCGTGTACTTGAAGTTTTCAATTTTACTTGGTATTACATTTTTTAATTTTTTTTTAAACAGCTGATCATTTACACTATTCCACGATACTCAAGGATCCATGTTCAAAAATATAAATGACATTTAAAATTTGGTTGTGAGTTTATATTTCAAGGCATGCTAGTGTTTATAATAAACATTTTTATTAAATGATCATGATTAAATCAAATTGCATACTTAACTTTTATAGGGCTCATCATCAAAAGGTAAGAGAAATGTAAATAAAGTAGAAAAAAAAGTTATGAAGTCTTTTTTAAAGCATGTATTCCCTCTTATCTACGGAATGATTTTTACTAAAGAGGTTTTATTTTATTTACAATATTGTCAATTTTTATATCCACAAATTCATTATTACTCCCCTTTGTTCATTAAAAAGACACAATTAGTAAAGACTTTGGATAAACTTTTGACGATTATGGAAATCTAATAGCACTTTTATTAAATTCATACAATAGCTTTAATAAGTTTAGCTTGTTTTATTATATGTTTAACCATTTATATGATTTTTCTAATTGTATTTTTTCTTAAAATATGATGGCAACATGAAAATTCTATTAGTACGTAGAACCGCACAAGAAGTAGGTAATTTTTCCCAGTTATAAAAGCTTTTCATGTTTTAACTTAATTTCCATATGACTTATGAGACAATCATCGTCCAAAACTACTCATTCTAGGTTTTCTAAAAGTTCTTATTTTGCTTTATTTTTTAAGAAAATAATCACCGTTCAAATAAGAAGAGCTTATAAAAACAAAAGAGTAGTTTAAATAAGTTTATCGGGAAGGAGGAAGTACCGGAAAACGAGTAGGCCCCCTTGATTAGGTAATCCGTGCCAAGATGCAACAAAAAAGGGGCAAAGAAGGACTAAGATGGGATGACTGCCCACATGCAATGTTAAAATCCATTTGCATAGAAAATACCAACCATATATAGAGCCTCAAATCCAACCAAACTCTCTATATAGAGTCATACAGATGGATCAGTTGAAGTGAATTGAAGTAGGTGGTTAGTTAATCTTGTCTTCCCATGTTTTTATCACAAACATGATAATGATCTGGACTATCTCATCATAATATATGAGGATTATGAGGTGATCAATATTTATACTCTATGATAAATGGTTAATAATTGATATGTCACGTTATATAGTCATGTTTTTTTATAACTTTTCATTAAAGAATTGCCTCGACATTTTTGGTAATCTTTACTTTTTCCGGAAAGATTTGTACTTGGCTGGAGAAGCTAGAGTGTCAGAGGGTATTCAGAAGGAAAAAAAGGGCTAAATGTATAATCTTTAGTCCATGCATGTATATCAATATATTTATGCAATAGAAGTCAAAATAATAAAGATATCCACGATCGAATGTCCGCATGTATTGCAAGTTGTTGTAGGATTTGTCAACTTTTTTTTTTTCTTCTTTTTTTTTTTTTTAAAAAAAAAGGAAAGGATCAGTCAACTATATATATATATAATGTGTATGAGTAAAAATCTTTTATGATACTTGCTCTTATAAACCAACAATGACCAAATCGTAGTCATAAGATAATTTGGCTAAGGTCGGCTAGCAAGAAAAGTCCATGAAAAGTAAATACCTATATACGATCTTTGTTATTATATATACCATTTATACAGATTTATAAAAACTTCATATTTTTCTTTTCGCAATTTGCATTATATATATGACTAAAATTCTTATTTTATTTTACAATTAGTTGTTTCAGATGGGCCTCGATTGCATGATCCTAGTTAGTACCTATTCTCAATAAATCACTAATACAGTACGTTAAGACAATATAAATTACAAATGAGTGTGAGGAATTTGAACATGTAACATATTGTATACAAACCTCAATTGTAACCCGTAGGCTCAAATGGACTCAATGAGTAATCCTTTAGCCCAATTCTGCTATACAGTTATACTCCTACAATCCTACTTGTTATTTCTTCTTAAAATGATTGGAATGACATGCAAGATGCAACTATGCAAGGTGGCGCGGTATGGCGGAAAAGTGTAAGGCAAATGGGCTAAGAACTTCAACTAACCAACAAAATGAAGTATGATTTTTGGGCCTACCAAAATGTGTGTGGGCTAAAATTTTAATTACACGTGAGTCTGTACATTTTCTGGGGATTTATAGGCCATACATTATCCAAACCCCCATACTGAGCATATGCATAAAAAAAATAAAGTTTAATTAACAATGTTTAGACATTAAAGAATTCAATGTTTATTCTAATTTTAGAAAATTTAAACTTCAATCTTGTTTCGAATTCTATTTTTGCAAAGCTTTTATTTTATTTTTTAAAAAAATATTTAATAAATTGAGAGCTGCTGCAACTTAAAGTTATTTCACTGATTACCACACTTCATAAACACAACATACAAACAAATTAAACAAAGATAACTTTGTCATTTCCAACTAATCTAATTATTTCTGTAATTGGACTTCCTAAGATAAGGAACAATAAATTTCAAACCTTAAACTAAACACAAATTCTTATATGCGACCATCATGGGGATTATTTCGTGACTGTTATAGGGGTTACTCGATCAATGTAAGAGTTACTTTGATCCTGTACAAGCGGCCACATAGTGTGGCCAGCCACACATAAAACACGCTATAAACTAAAATGTCAAAGTAACGTATGTATAGATGTGTAAAGCATAAAAAATGTCTAAAATAACTACTAATCACAAAAAGAGAACAACAATAATTATTGGTTCACACTATGTACTTTTTAATTAACATTCGTCTTCAACAAGGTTGATTCGAGCTCCTATCTACATAGACTCCTAATACAAGAACCTTATAGTAGGGCATCGTTTGATATAGTGTCCATAGAAAGTTAAGTAAAAAAAACACTAAGTCATCGACATCGACATTTTTATTTATTGTCCAAGTATGAGACCTATAATAACATCCTATATTCCTATTACCATTTCTATATACTTGTGTGTTTAGTATTTGAGTGCTTGAATAATATAGCTGGTACAGTACACTTTACAAAAGTTGCTCATAATTGGTCAGAAGGAGCTTTCATTACAGAAATAATATTAGTGTGTAAATAATCTTATACCACATAAGTAAACTTTTTCAGCCAATGGTATTGTCAACATTAACAAAATAACAAGCTAAATATCCCTTCTCCTTAAAGCCTAAGTTCTAAGGGACCAAAAGTAAGGTGGGTTGGCCCTTAGTTTCTCTCGATCATTTTACTTTTAATATATATGATTTTTTATTTGTTCATATTAATTTCTTTACCTTCAAATATACTATTGTAAATTAAATAAAAACATAATATTTTTTTTTTGACATATATCTATTGTAGGAAAAACTTGATTTAGGGTTCATGTTATCTCAGCCTCTAAGTCAGTCAATCACCTGCCAATACAATGCAAGTCATTTTCTGTATAATTTACAACTAACTGATTTATTTGTTCTACCACCCTACATACGTATAACGTATTACATATGTAAATATTCTTACATCTATATATTACAATCATTCCTTCACCTTTCTCACCAACTAACATCATCCAAAATCTCTCTATTTCTCACATTTCTAACAAGAATATATATATCAAGGAGCTTTTCGGCTCCATAAAGATGGTGGCCTCGAGCTTGAGCAATTTTCACCATGCTTACAATTGTCTCATTTTCATTTTCCTATCTACATTCTTTCTCCCATCAGAAGCAGCTGTGAAGAACTATCAATTTGACGTGGGTTTATAATTTAAACGTCTCACCACTTTCTTAATTCATATAGCTTCCTTAATTAGTGTTGCATTTAAATTAAATTGCATGTACTACATAAGATGCATGCATGATTTAATAAAATCAGATTTTAACATTTGATTTTATTGATTTCAGATACAAGTGACGAATGTAAGCAGGCTATGTCATGCAAAGCCTATAGTAACCGTGAATGGAATGTATCCTGGACCAACTATTTATGCTAGAGAAGGGGATAGAGTTGTGATTAACGTTACTAATCATGCAAAATATAACATGTCTATCCATTGGTGAGATTTTTTTTCTATTACTCGATCTTTTATTAGTTTAATTACGCTTGCTAGCAGTCGTTGACGTTTTTCGAAACTAATAACGCTTATATAGTCTATAATAAACTTTAGATGGTTTTAATATACTCCGATCGATCTTCATTTCTTTAATTTGTTATATTTGAAATAATGTTTTCGTTGGGCAAAAATTGTAGGCATGGGCTGAAACAATATCGAAATGGTTGGGCAGATGGACCAGCATACGTAACACAATGTCCAATTCAGACGGGGACTAGCTATGTCTATGACTTCAACGTTACAGGACAAAGAGGAACCCTATGGTGGCATGCACATATTTCATGGCTAAGGGCGACAGTTTATGGTGCCATTGTCATCATGCCAAAAGAAGGGACTTCATACCCCTTTCCTCAACCTCACTTAGAAGAAAACCTTATTTTAGGTGAAGTAAACACTCAAATAACTTCTAATTAATCATAATTATTTATCGTGCATTTTGTTGATTTAGTGAGTGGTTGTGCACTTTGTGCATTTTGTTGATTTAGTGAGTGGTTGTGCACTTGTGCAGGGGAATGGTGGAACACTGATGTTGAGACGCTTGTTAAACAAGGCAATCAACTTGGTTTGCCGCCGAACATGTCGGATGCTCACACTATCAATGGAAAACCAGGACCCTTGTTCCCTTGCTTGGAGAAACGTAAGACTTCTTACACAACATAATTACATGTTAGGCTTGTTATCATACAACATTAATTAGCTGACATCTTTATTTTAATTAAATTTGGTTTGTTTTGTAGACACTTATGCAATGGAGGTTGAACAAGGAAAGACATACCTCCTTCGGATCATCAATGCTGCACTCAACGACGAGCTATTCTTTGGCATAGCAGGCCACTCCATGACCGTGGTAGAAATAGACGCGGTCTATGTTAAACCATTCGCAACTAGTTCCATCCTCATAGCTCCAGGCCAAACCACTAACGTGTTGGTCCGAGCAGATCAACCCCCTAGCCGTTACTTTATGGCCACTAGAACCTTCATGGACGTACCCATCCCCGTAGACAACAAGACAGCCACCGCGATTTTCCAATACAAAGGCGTCCCTAACACCATCATCCCTTCTTTACCTCAACTTCCCGCACCAAATGACACTTCATACGCGCTATCCTACAACAGGAAGCTTAGAAGCCTAAACACTCCTCAATTTCCTGCCAAGGTACCTTTGAAAGTTGACCGAAAATTGTTCTTCACTATTGGATTAGGGGCGAACCCATGCCCTACCTGCGTGAACGGGACTCGTTTTACGGCCTCATTGAACAACATCACCTTTGTCATGCCAAAAACCGCGCTGTTACAAGCACATTACTTCAACATGTCTGGGGTGTTTAAGACTGACTTCCCGGACAAGCCTCCTAAACCTTTTAACTACACCGGGGCTCCATTGACAGCTAACCTTAGGACGGTACAATCAACAATGCCGCGGCTTAGCAAGATTGCTTTCAACTCCACGGTTGAGCTGGTTTTGCAGGACACCAATTTGCTTTCCGTAGAGTCTCATCCTTTCCATCTACATGGCTACAACTTTTTCGTGGTCGGTACTGGGGTTGGTAACTTTGATCCCATTAAGGACCCGGCTAAATTTAACTTGGTTGATCCTCCTGAGAGGAATACCGTAGGAGTTCCCACCGGAGGTTGGACCGCTATCAGATTCAGAGCCGATAACCCAGGTAATTTAATACTAACATTGTCAAATGCCTTATGATAGAATATGTAACATCTACGTACACATTTTGTTACATAAATTATACGTGACATTGACTAGCTAGGGTGTGTTATAGTCTAACATTAACATTGCACTTAATATATACACATTACTTGTACTTTGTATATATTTTGAGGTGCTACAAAATATTTGCTAAGCTAATAATTGATTATGGTTGCAGGAGTATGGTTTATGCATTGTCATTTGGAGCTTCATACGGGTTGGGGATTAAAGATCGCGTTCGTGGTTGAAGATGGACCCGGGCCCGAGTATTCTGTGTTGCCTCCACCTAAGGATCTTCCACAATGCTAATAACTCTCAAGTATAAAACCATGAAAATTGCCTTCTTTTTAATTGTTCCCTGGTCGTAACTTGTAAGAGTTGCAGCAGGGGTGGTTGAGATTTGAGCTTTGAGGAAAAATTATTGCATTGTTTGATGAGCATCGTTAACGAAAATTGTAATTTGTAGCATACTCTCAAGTAGTCAAGTGTAATACAGATTTTCAGCAAAACGTTTGGATATGATGATTGTTGGTTTATCCTATAGTTGTTCACTTGTCTTATTCCACAACATTTACCAACTCAATGTGAAAATAATATACATTGTTGTCTCATTGTATGTCTTTATATCTCATATGTTAACTTATAATCAAGCATAAGATTCAGATATCCTTGATAATCCAATAAGCTAGAATTTTGATTATTTTTTAAAAGTTGCTAAACATTATTATAGGTGACGACTAACTATACTATCTTAGTAAAAGACTTGGAACTACTCCCTACAGGTTAGGTTTGGAATGGAATACTACTCCGTATCAATTTACTTCTGTACCACAATACTGACTTTTTTACACCTAAAGTTAGTATTGTATTATCCAACGATGTGATATGTGTTTAGTAGTAGTAGATGATACCTTCCACGAATATGGTATATCCGAATCTATATTTGCAATAGGATAGGAGACAAGTTATTTGTCCACTCTTATATCGGACAAGAAGACAAGAAGTAGTTCTGTACATATGTGTGTCCAAAAAATCAAAACATCACCCAAAAAGAAAAAAAAATTGGAGAAGTTATGGTTTAATGAAAGCTTAATTATTTTTACAATGTGTTTTGTGTGTGGCTAGTCACACCATGTAGTCAATTGTAAAACAACAAAGTAATCCATATAACACTAATTGAGTTATCTCTATAACACTGACTGAATAACCCTTTTAACACTAACAAAGTAACCCTAATAATGACTGGCTACACGAATAAAAGTTGGTGTTGATTTTATACCTAAAAAGAATTAAGATAACCTTAGTTAATTACAGATAATATAGTGTCCGAAAGGCAATACAAGTATACAACTGAAAATTGACTCGTCGTGTATGTGCAGGGGCACACAATATTAAACTCAAAATCTTTACAAACGCATACTGTCCACCATTAATTCTTTTATCGAAGATGGCATCAATTTCAATGGCAGCTTCATTATCCTCTGTTACCAACCTCAAGCTCCATTGTTGTCCCAATTACAATCGGTAATCCTCTTACCTTTCCCTCTCAATTGCTCTAATCAATCAATAGAATCAAATAAATGGTCTGATTAATTGATTAAATCAGCTGAAAAAGTTTTAAATTGATGTAAGATTGAGTACTAATTTCTTTGGGATTTGCATTTTGGTGAAGATTTTCAACTGTGAGTATGAGAGTATCAGCAAGTATTGATGGAGCAGCTATTTCCACTCAAGGAATTAAGCTTACTGAAGGATTGGGCAATCTCCCCAAGGTTGTTCTCACTTCTCCTCATGGTAGGTCCACTAATATCGATTACACTGATTTACGCGTGATTTTGTTATTTATTCCGAAATTTATACAAAACCCTTTTGTTGTTGCTGCTGCTGTGGTAGTATACTAGTAGTAGAATATTAATACTGTGATTGTTTGATGAATGGGGTTAAGGCAGTGAAGCTGAAGTATACTTGTTTGGAGGTTGTGTGACTTCATGGAGAATTCCAAATGGCAAAGACCTTCTTTTTGTCAGGCCTGATGCTGTGTTCAATGGCCAGAAACCCATCAGGTTTCTCTCTTCTAAACCCAGCCCCGCCTGGTGATTTAAGGGTCTTTGAATGGCTGAATGCGGAGTACTTTGTTATGTATGCTGTATGATTACTGATATAATCTTTGATTTTGCATGGTAGTGGAGGAATCCCACATTGTTTTCCTCAGTTTGGACCTGGAAAAATACAGCAGGTATGATTGTTACTGCTTCTGCAATGCTTTTCATCATTTCCTTTTAAAAAGCATGGATTTAAGTACTGATTTTGATGTTAATTTATAATATGTTACCCCTGATATGTTATTACGTAGTATAACATTTGAAATTTTGGGTTGATAGAGTGATGCACTAAGAAATGTAAACGCTTTCTGTGTGAATTAAACATCTGGTTTTTGACAGAAATAACTTAGAATTTAGCCTAATAGTTTGGGACTGTCTAAATAGAGATTTTGCCCCTATTTTTGGCAATGGAAGGAGTTATGTTATGCCTTTTTTTTTTTTGCATTTTGCTAGTCATCCTCACGACCAACAACTTGTGTGTTGTTAACCGAATAATCATGAATTATTAACAAATCATCTTTGTTGTTGTTACTTTTGCTTTGTTCTATCATCTAGAAACTTCTTCATTATGCTGCTTTCATTTATCATTCCGCAGCATGGTTTTGCAAGGAATATGAACTGGTCGGTTGTTGATTCTGAAAGTATCGAAGGAAAACCTGTTCTGACTTTAGAACTGAAGGATACTCCTTACAGCCGGGCAATGTGGGATTACAGCTTCCAAGCTTTGTATAAGGTTAGCTGCCTTGCTTTGCTTAGTATTAGGTGAAAGAAAGAATAACAAAATGACTCAAGGATATTAGAGATTTCTATTCCTTTTCCTATTTTAGATCTCTTTTTGGTATCTTGTGTAAATCATAATTCAATTTGAATAATGCTTGTACCTATCTTTAAGTAAAAGTTAACCTTCAATGCTGTGATTTTAAGATTAGCTTAATGTTTGCGTTTCTCTTGCATATTTCAGATCATTTTGGATTCCAACAGCCTTTCAACAGAGTTGACTGTCACTAATACAGACAAAAAGGCCTTTTCTTTTAGCACTGCTTTGCATACGTACTTTCGGGTGAGTATATTACTTACGTTTTGAACTCTAAAATTATTTTTCAAAATCAAATTAGTTTGCACTTTCCTCAATGGAAGATTGAGAATGGATAAGCTTTAAGAGTAATCAAATTAGTTTGCATTTGGAGCCTTTTGAATGCTGTAAAGTATTTTGGATATAGTGCTTTTCAATAAAAGGATGATGGTCATAAATTACTAAAATGTTAGTACTCCCTATTATAAATCATCAAAAAGCTATTTTCAAATTTTCTCAATCTTATGTCTTCGGGCCTTCCAAACTTGCTCTGAAGTTAAAATGAAGAACTTCATCAGAAATTCAGATCTGCCTTGGTTATTGTGCAGGGTTTGATCAATGGGGTGGCAGTTACAGGTCTGAAAGGTTGCAAAACACTCAGCAAAGAATTAGATCCTAAAAATCCTCAAGAGGGTACAGAGGAGAGGTACATATCGTAATCAAATTATGCCAAGTGGGTTATCTATGGTCAGTTTTAGCTGGAAGATTTTAACATTGATTCAAGTGGCTGCCAAATAACGTAGACAGATTAATGTTACAATTATAAGCTGGTGCATATCTTCTCTAATTATTCTATCTCTCAACATACATATTTTTATGTAATATTTATTTTTGGTCATGATTCCACTCGAAATAGTAATTTGCATAACAACTTTATATTAGAATGTACAAGGAATGCAGTATATTTTTTTAATTTTTTTTATTATTATTTTTATTTTTTTTTCTGACAGAAGTGGTGTAGAAATGAACAATACTTTTCAGTGTTACATAGGTCAAAAGCTTTAGATTTTGCTTTGCATCTTAGTCATATGGTCAATTGACTCTTATATTGACATTTCAGGGATGTGGTCATATTTCCCGGATTTGTGGACTGTGTATATCTTGATGCACCAAATGAATTACTCCTCGAAAATGGCTTGGGGGACATAATATTTGTCAAGAATACCAAGTACAGTCTTATTTCTTATAAATCTGTTAGTCTTGACTTCCTGGGTTCATCATTCCTCACACCTAGTTAAACCTATGCAGTTGGTCAGATGCGGTTTTGTGGAATCCACATCTGCAGATGGAGGCTAGTTACAAAGATTTCGTTTGTGTTGAGAATGCCAAGGTAATTTCCTAGTTATTTTTAATGTAAACATCAGGATGACGATGTATCTGAGCTATATGCTTCTATCTGTAGTGTAGTTTTTTTCATTCATCATATGAACTCTGAAATTGTTTGTTGAGCCAATTCCTGATAATGGGATCTATGTTTTTGCTACTAGATCATCTTAGCGAGTATTCAAGTCATTATCTTATTTATGGGTCATTCTGTAATGCAGATTACTGAAGTCCAGTTACAGCCTGAGCAATCTTGGACAGCAACACAGCAACTTAGTGTTGCTTGAGATGATTTTTGCGGCATCACATTTAAGGATTAGGCGTTTCCCTTGTCAACGTCTTAGAAATACTTTTCATAGAGTTGGCAGCTTGTCATTTGAACAATCAAAATAAATTTTGTATATTGCTCAGAAATCTTCCATAAATATTTTGTATTTAGTGGATGTAACATATAACTGTTCAATCGGCAATCTAGCAATTCCAAAATTATCTACTGTCACTCTGTGAGACTAATTGTTTATGCTGAAGAAATTCCATGACAACTACTGTCAGACATTGCTATTCACCTTTATACTCCAGTACCAGATTTTGGGTCTCTTAATATGTGGTACAGTTGTATAAGACGTATAAAGGCTTTGATTCACGCTATATAATAAGGCAAAAGTTCTGGAAAATGATTGAATTCGACATAATAAAGTTCAATAATCAGAAACACGCGAAGAACTAAAAGCAGAAATTATACTTTTATTAGTGCTATATCATTGAAATCTTGTATCTAATGAACTAAAAGAATTGACAAATTAGGTAAGTAGCCAACTAAAAGAGCTCAGAAAAGCTCAAAAAAACCCCATAAACTGCATTTACATAGGCAAATCTAAACCCCAATTAACCTAAACACATGATTTATTCCTATCTCAGAGCAATTAAGGAGATGAAACACACCAACAAGATGATGAATCCTACAGCCCAAACCCAATGCACCCAATTCCTGTTTTTCTTCTTCATCTGCTTAGCATAGTACAGACTGTTAGTCCCTCCACTGATATATTCTCCTGCATTCACCACATTCTGCTCAATGTCATTGATTTGTTCCCCTTGTTTCTCGATCAAAACCGCCATATCGAGAAATACTTGATGCAGTTTATTCAAGCTTCTTTGTATATCCTTTACAACCTCATATCTTTCCTTTTCCTCCATGTCTGCCCCTCCCACTCGCCCCTCGAAAACCTCAATTTTCAGACTGCCAGATAGCAGTTTCTCCACAGCTTCTTCACTAGGTGCCTCTCCTGTAGCATTATAGTACTTCCTCCTTAGGTCATCCCTATGATCATTC